GATTATACGACGACGTTATTATTTAAAACGTTTGAAACAACCAAATCGACCGAACAACAATCAGTGCAAAATCTGTAGTTTAATAAAATTATGATGTCATTTTTAATGTGCATTTAAACACCCAATATTTTGCATTTTTGAATGCCACACATATTAAAATACAAACAAAAAAAATTGCATAGAGGTCCTTATGACTTGTTCAATTCTCAAAAACTAGTCCCTGAACAGAAAAATAACAAAAAAAAAAAAAAAAGCAAAATCCAACCAGCCCTCTACACTCCGACCGACGCCATCCGCCCGCCGTCCTCCGCCCGAAGACCGGCTGTCCGCGGCCGCACCACAACCCACCATTGGATCGCATGGACGACGAGCTGGAAAGTGAGATGACGGGCTCCGCTGAAACGCAGGCCCTTGACGTCGGAGGAGGTAGAGATGGAGATAACCGCAGCCTGGTCGATCAATGTGGCCGTCGCCTGGTCGGTAGCGACGGATTTTGTGCTAGTCAGTGCCGAATTTGGCCGCCTGCGAGCTCCGATCAGTGGCCGTCGACACCAATCGACTGATGGCGGCGACAATGCGGGTGGTAGGACGGCGGTCGCCGGCAACGCTAACCGGCGGATCTAAGTGTGTAATAGCAGTAATATGGCAGACCGGCGACCAACCGGCGGATGTGTGTGTGATTGTGTGTGTTCGTCCATTTTGTGCCTGTGTGCGTGTGAATCTGAGTGTGTGTTTGTGTATGAGAGAGGGTGGTGAGTGTGTTTGTGTGTGAGAGAGGGGAGGTTGTTGGGATTGGTGGGGCCCATAGATAGTGGATAGTTATGTAATGACTTAAATGTCCTTAGTTAGTGGTCTAAATTGTATATTTGACCATGATAGATATATTTATTTACGACATTGCCATTAGGTGATTGACCATTATTTACTAACAGTTAATTTCATCTTGATCATTGATATGATGGATCTAATGATCTAGATTTATTCTCATTTCTTTCATTATCTACCATTCTCATGTGATCCCAACTCTCTCTCTCTATATATATATAATTACTAGCAAAGCAATTAATAAAAACATTTTCGTTTCTCTCCAAAAGACATTATAAAATTCTATCATTAATTTTTTTTTTCACTTTATTCAACTTTTACATGTAATATAATTTCTAATATTCTTACATAATTTTAGTCATTTTTATTTTGTCACCCACTTAACCTATATTTTTTTATTTTAATATTTGGTTTGAAATCATATATTAGCAAATTTAATCCAACCGATTTAATTTAATAAAAAAATAATTTGTTACTTTCGGATTTTTCTTTTATGTTATGAAAATGGGTAAAGGAATTAGTATACATTCAAAAAAAAAACCTCAATTAAATGACAAATAAAAAAAATCTCCATTTATCTCTTCCAATGGATAATGTGCACATGGATGGTAACAAAAAACATATATAATTAATCAATACATAATATATTAAATACCAAAAAAAGAAGCCTTGATCAATTATATGTGTAATATAAATTATTCCATAACAAATTAACTTTTTTTTTTTTTAAGAAAATCATATTTCCCAACAAAATTGTTGCACGTATTTTAATGTAATATTCTTTATTTGGAAAAATAAAAACGAGAATAAGTAATCACTTGACACCTTAATTTGTTTTGTATTAATAAAGTAATTATATTTTCATTTATTTATTTCATAATACCACTACTAACTAATCATAAAGTCACATTAAATGATATTCTATTCTTAATTTTCTTTTTCAAACTATTTATTTAAACTATTATTTCTTTTTAAATTTATTGAACAAGTTTTTTTTTTATTAAAATTACTTAAAAAAACAACGATGTTTTATAAAAAAAAATATAAAAGTAAAATTAAGAATATAACATGTCCAATTCCATTGCAGTTTTATTTTATTTTTAAATAATTTACAAATAAAAAATATATGTGTTATCTAGAATTAGAATGAGATTTCATTTATTAATTGGTGAATTTAAAAAACCTGCTAAAAAAAATACACTCAATAAAATCGTTACCATAAAAGAATAGATTAAGATATCATTAAAATTGTTTGATTTTAAATAAATTCAAGATGTACACAACACAGAATCCTAGAATATTTTTTTTACAGCTAAAATCGAGAATATGGCATGATATTTTAAAAATTCAAGATGTACACAACACAAAATTCTAGAATATTTTTTTTACAACTAAAATTGAGAATATGGCATGACAAATAGCAACCGAATTATGGTAATGCATTTACTGCTTCTTTATATTTTTATTTGAAAACACTTGAAAAGAATATAAAAATTATTTCATACTGATTTTAGCGAGAAACTATTTTTAAAAATAATTTAATTTTATTCTTATGTTTTTTTTTTAGATAAGATAGATTTTAGGGAATTGACTTCCCCACCAAATATGCATTTAATGACATGCAATTTTACATAAAATTCGGAAGAAAAAGATCTGAAGTCCAAGGTCCAGCCATCCTTATCGGATCCTAAAAGGATAATATTTGTGCATTCCGAGACAGTATTGTTATGTGGAGCCCACCATCACCCCACCTCCCACTCTTCCCCTGTCAACGTTCTCACTATAAGATTAAACTAGTATTAGCATAGGTTATCAAGAAAAAAAAATATTATATATAAAAACTTTAATTAAAATAAAAATTCATATAATAGTATATATCATATTTATAATTAAATCATTATACTAATGACTTTTAGTTAGATTTTTATATTTTAATGAAAAAGAATGATAATTTTTTTTGTCATAATTAACCTTTTAGAAAAGAGCAGGAACCAAAAAATTTAACATTAATAGGATAACCATAATTATATATATAGATTAGTATAACAAAACACTTCTATGAATAATTTTTTCATTATGTTTCTAGTGTTTGCATATTAGCAATGGGATTAAATTACTTTAACACAATTTACTGATATAAGGAATGATCAAAATAATCTATAAATTTAATAGTTGTTCACTTTAAAAATGATAGTAATACATAAATAATTCGAGACATGTCAAACTTTATTCTATGTCTTATTTATTTACGCATCTTTATATGAGGGTTTAACTATTGAATGGTTCATTAGTAATTATTCTATAAATTTGTTAAAAAACTATTTACCTGATATACAGTTCTTAGAAGGCTTCAATGAGCAACATCTCCTGTATTTAACATCACAAAAGTTCGGATAATTGAGAATAGAAAATCATAACATGTACATATACTGAGTGCGATGCTCTTTGCTCTTTATCTGAGATGCTAAATCATCAATAAACAATGTTAAATTCCTATTTAATTCGTATTAAAGGTAAGTTATTTTACAATATGTTATACTCCATTTTATTCATAATAATTGTTGTTTTGAGAAATTATATAATAATTTAAAACTTTTTTTGCCAATAATAATTTTATTTAATGAAATATTTAATGAAGATAGAGATGGTTATTTTGAGATAAGATAAAATAGTGAAAAAGTATTTATTAACTAAATAAGAGTAATGGATTAACAACTAAAAGAAAAAATCCCCTTTCTCTCTCTCTTCGCTCCCCTTTGCCTTTGCCGTCAAATTGGTAAATCGCCGCCTTCCTCTCGGCGCCCAGCCCAATCGGTCGTCATCCCATCGCCACCCGGTCCTTCCCAGATGCCGTGACTCTGCTCGTCACAAGTGCCGGCGGTTCAGTGGTTGCCAAATCCAATTCACCTTCTCCGGCAGGTAAGCTAGGGTTTGCGATTGTTGGCACATTCTCCGGCTCGGCGGAGGGCTCATGAGTTGTGGTGCCCTGGGCTAGGATCGGGTGCGGCACTGGCTGGTTCACCTTCTCTAGTCGGAGTGTTTTGGGCTTCTCACGAAATCATTAACAAGCATTAACACGAATAATTAAGTTAAAACATGTTTCCTTATTGATCTCAAACTTTAACATAAATTTTCAAAACTAGTGATAAAACAAATAAAGCTACAGGCCTACAAACCCCAAATTGAGAGAAAACCCAATTAAATTTCAATTCACATATCAGTGACAAACCACAAATTGGGACAAAAACCATTTAAGGTTTCAATTTCACATATGGCAGAACAAAGTGACAATCAAACAAACAAATTCACACCAAATTAAATCAATCTCACATTACAGAACAAAATACAATAATTAAATCATGCTAAAAAAAGGCTTTAAATTGGATACAGTGATACTTGTAAGCATCAGCAATTGCAGATATATATAGTTTTTAACTATAATTTTTAATTCAAGAATGTCTTGTTGAAGATGTTTGGTCCGAATATGGACAAATATAGGCATGAGCGGAGCCAGGATTTTGAAATACCCGGGGCTAATGAATTGCGATCTCCGACGTATGCTCTTTCGGCTAAAAGAACGAATTGATAGTCTATCTTTTCTTCGTAGCTTGACCCTATATTTAATCGCATTTAAGATGATATAAACAAACTAAAAAATACAAAAAAAAAAAGTAATCAAGAACAATTTATGAGTTTTTGTACACAATCTTATTACGAATGCCAAGCACGCATCCACATCCCTTAAAGCATCGAATATATTATCAACAAGCATTAACACGTATAAACAAGTATTAACACATATATTGAAGCTGAAAAGTAAAAAAATGTTTCCTTATTGATCTCAAACTTTAACATAAATTTTTAAAACTAGTGAGAAAACAAATAAAGCCACAGGCCCATAGCCTCACAATCCACAAATTGGGAGAAAAACCAATTAATTCAATTCACATATGACAAACCATAGACTGGGAGAAAAATTAATTAAGGTTTAAATTTCGCATATGGCATAACAAAGAAACAATCAGACAAATAAATTCAGACTAAAATTAAATCAATCTCAAGATTACAGAACAAAGATACAAACAGAAATAATTGAACGAACAAGTCACCACATCTTAATTCATAGAATTCATACACCAGACATCACATTTCAATTCATACACAATAAACCAAAATTAATGAATAAGCCGTTCAAGTTCAGCCGTCGTTACCTCGGAGTCACTCTCGCTCCCGCTGACTTGCCGGTTGTTGCCCGCCGCTCGATCCTCGAAGGTCCCGAACTCCACTGAAATTGCCGCACCCGCACACCGGTCGCAAGTTGCAAATCTAGCTTCCTCGTCGCTGGCTCCAGATGGAAGATGCGCCGTTCACCGTCGCAGAAGTCTGAGAGAACAGGGTTAGATTAGAGAGGCTTGAAACTTGCGAGTACAAAGCCGCTTAATGGAGTCTTGAGATATCAGGGTTTACAGAGCCCGTCTGTGATAACTGGGAAGCGTGTGTGTGTGTGTGAGAAGAGAAGTGAGTCGTGTAGTCGTTTTAACAAGCCCATCAATGTTTTTTTTTTTGTGGGCTTTGTTGTTGTCTTGGGGTGATTCAAATAAAATGGGCTAACTTAAAAATCATATTGGGCTAATAATCAAAATAATCTAAAATATAAATAAGTTTTTTTTTTTTTTTTTTTTACCTGGGGCTGGAGCCCACCCTAGCCTATGGGTGGCTCCGCCCCTGAATATGGGGCTATTGTTTTTCCTAAATGTATAGATTACTTTTGAAAAATGAGAATAATTAAATCATACAAACAGAAACAATTGAACGAACAAGTCACCACATCTTAATTCATAGAAATTCACACACCTGACACCACATTTAAATTCACACACAATATACCAAAATTAATCAATAAGCAGTTTAAAGTTCAGCCTTCTTACCTCGAAATCACTCTCAGTCCCGTTGAATTGTCGGCTGCTGCCCGCCGCTCGATCCTCGAAGGTCTCGCTACTTCCGTTCCTTGCAATTGCCGCACCCGCACACCGGTCTCGCAAGTCGCAACTCTTTCGTCGCCGGCTCTAGATGGAAGATGCGCCGTTACCGTCGCAGAGGCTTGAGAAAACAGGGTTGAGAGAAGAGAAGTGAGAGTTGTATAATCATTTTAACAAGCCCATCAATAATTTTTTAATTTTTGGTCTTTGTTGTTGTCTTGGGCTGGTTCAAACAAAATGGGCTAACTTAAAAATCATATGGGGCTACAAAACCAAAATCATCTAAACTGTATATAAACTTTTATTTTTTTATTTTTTTACCTGGGGCTAGAGCCCACCCTAGCCCATGGGTGGCTCCGCCCCTGCCCCTCTGCTTATGGCTTCTGGGCGCCTATCAGTTCTCTCCAGTGGGGGAAGAGGGATATTTCCTGCCAACAGTAATTGAATATAGAGGTGTCAATTGGATCTTATTTATTTACTTGAGATTTGTTTTATCAAATTAAATCATAGAAATATTAATCATTTAATTTCATTTTTTTATATACAATATATTTAATATAATTTAAGCTAAATTAAAGTTTTATTTAGTTAATCACGATTTATGTCACTCAATGTGTGAATCAAACAATAAATTTTCTAAAAAGAAAAAAAAAACTATTTATTTTATTTTTTACAATTTCACTATATAATTACAAAACTAAAAACAATAATTATTATCTAAAAAAATATATTCATTATATATGTTATAAAAAGCAATATTCATCCACTTTATATTTGTAACTATCAATTATTATTTTATTATTTTTATCACTTTTATCTTATATTCATTTATATTTTCTAAAATTATAAATATTATATTTTTTATCTTAATTTTGGACGATTCATTTTTTAAAATAAATTATCCAATCATTGATAGGAATGGTTGAACTTTTTGGGTGTCGACATCTAATTGTTTTCTCTCTCCTCGCTCAGCCAAAAATTCCCAAATCAGAGGGGCGAAAACCTAGTCGTCTTTGTTTGTCCCATTTTTGTTACGTTTTTTGTGTCTTTTTGTCTTTGTTTTTCCCATTTTAGGTCATTTAGATGAGTTTTAGTTCATTTTATAGTTTATTTAGTGTTTGCTCTCTTCTTGTTTTTTCTTGTGTTTTTCGTTCGTTTTTCGTTTTTTTTCGTCGTCGTTGGTGCGTAGGTAGGAAGTCTCGGGAGAACAGGAGTTCGGAAAAATACTAGTTGGGCAAGCCTAATCAAATAGAAGAGTTCGTTGGGAACACACAGGAAAAAGCGAAATCGAATTCCGAGTTGAAACGAGCTCAAACGGACCCGAGAAGCAAATTTGTGCGAGCTGCCCACTTGCCCAGGCCCCGCGCCGCGCCACTCGTGCCTCACCGCGCCGCGCCAGCACCACGACCCGGACTGCGGCTCCGAGCCTCCCAGGTCCCGCACTCCANCATGCCACGACACCAACTGAGGTGCAACACCCCGCTACTTAGGGCCAAATTTTCGCAAATTTTAACTCTTTCGAAAACGCTTATAAATTTTTCGAAATCATTTGCAAACTATCTCGGGATGCTGCTAAGGACTTTTCTGCTTAAAAACCCGTTTCTTTAACCTAGGTCTAATGACTGGTTTAGACTTAAAGAAATCAGGTTCATATTTTTAACGAAACATGCATATTAGTCTGGACCCGTTCGTACTGGCGAACCGGGTAAAATTATTTAAGTCTGAAAATAACGTCATGCATGTTCGAAAATAAACACAACCATAGTGGAAGTCTAAAAGTGCGTGGAATTATTTAGTTATACGAAACGATAACAAATGTCCTAGGAACAGCTTTCGTGCGGAACTCACGACCACCACCACCACAGCTCGACTCACGTCTGCCCGCCGACCCTGTCATCTGAAATATAAAGTCGTGGTGAGTACGGTCCACTTGTACTCCATAAAGACTCATTCTAAAGTAAACAACAATAATAATAATGATATCACAGAGCTGGTATATATAAGTTAACTGTAACTCCCGGAACTCTCTGGCCGGTAACTCCCGGAACACTCTGGCCGGTAACCGTGTGCACACTCTGATGGTATAACTAGGGCAAACTGGGCCACCATCAGAACTTAGGGAAGGCAAACTTGGCCTTAACTCAAAGTGGATAAAACTCATATACATACCTGAACGTGATATCGACTATTATACTCAATGTAAAACCCAGATAGGGTCCTCACCTGATCGGTTTTGAAAATGGGTAAGTGCGGCTGTGCTGGTAGCTGACTCCTCAAGCTACATAAAAATATAAGCAAGCAAAATATACTAAGAATTATGCTCGTCATATGCTCAATAATATGCTAGGATGCTCTACTCTATCAGATTACTCATTCGGATATAAGGAAACGCTCTAAGGGTTCACTGAAATAATTCTAAGTCCGGAAATTATACTGATATGCTTACTGATTTTGTTTGGCTCGGAAAAATACTTAGATTTCGGAATAAAATTTGGACCGAAATACTCGAACCAAAACGGACTCGAACCGCCGGCTAAACTGGCCGGTTCGCTAACTGGCTGAACCGAGTCGGGCTGGACCGGACCGGGTTGGACCACCGGTTCACACTGGACTGGGTGGTCACGGGCTGCTCGGACTGGCTGGGCTCGGTCCCGTGCCGGGCCTGTTGGGGCCATGGCACGGCGCTGGGCACGAGCTGGGTGCGACCGGGCCTCGGTACTAGGCGCTGCTGGGCGCGGGCTGTGCGGCTGGCACGGGCCGTGGCACGACTGGTGCCACTAGGTGCGGTTGGGCACGACCGAGAGTCACTGGGAGTGTTGGCGCGCTGCTGGGCACGACCGAATACGAGGGACGTGGGATAGACGCGTACCCGGGCTGACTAGGCACTGGGCGTGCGGCTGGCACGACCCCAGTGCGACTGGAGCGAGGATTGACGCGGCCAGACACTACTCGCGCGGCTC